TGGGCTAACTTACAGAATGTATCCAAAATTTGGAATCCATGAGCCCCATGGAATTGAAATTTGGCAAATTTCCTATAATATTTTATTACATAAATTTATCATAAAAGTTTTATGACATAATCCAAGATGTTATAAAACATTTCATATGGACAACTAACATTTGATTGCACTATACACCTCAACATGGGCTAGTTTCAAGGCAGATGCATCTCTGAATATCTCCTTGAATGTATAAGAACTTTTTCAATGATGGCAGTACATTAAAAAAATGTTCCATTGAAGGCATTGACGTATCTCGTAAGAAAATGTTTCTGAAACAATGACCCAATGATGGATTGTCTAGTAGTGGTTAATGTTCTGGGCTTGGACCAGTGACAAGAAGATGCAAGTCCTTTTCCTACTATATCACTTGAGACTTCAGACTCACTATATCACTTGAGACTTTCAAGAAGAGATTGGACTGCCATTTGTCAGAAATGGTGTAGGGTCTCCCACTTGGGCGGGGGGTTGGATTAGATGACCTACAAGGTCCCTTCCAACACTGATTATCTGTTAAATCTGTTCCTCAACCATTTCTCTCTCAGCCTAATTTATCATATAGGATTATTACTGTGGAAATAAAATGAAGATAAAGGAGACCTCAAAGAAAGGGGGAAAAGATATGCAACTAATAAACCAAAACAACCTTCAGTTCTTCCAGTGCCTGCTTCTTCATCAGTCTAGAAGGCTTCCATATCTGGGCTGCAAAGATAGAGATTGGCAGCAAAGAGATATTAACAATTTAATTCTTCGTTGCCATTTAGTGATTGTTTGGATCTTTACATGCTATTGATCAACGTGGCTGCCATCTGCACAACCTCAAATATACTGTTCAAGCTTTGCAGTTCCAGTGAGAATCAGCATTCTTACATATTGTCTGTGTCAGCATCATTCAGAATGCTGAGCCATTTATTGCTCCTAATGGAAAATAACAAAATCTGATTAATTCAATGAATCAAGTTGTGCAGCACATTGTTGGAATTCTCCATTCCTTTTGCCAGGACATACAATACTACAGTGGTCTAGTTGCATCAGCAAATTGGATCCAAGAACTGACATATTTTGCAAGAAATGTGTGGAGCTTTTATGGAATCTGATACAATTCACCATTGTTTGTGTTCAAGCCAACCCAGTTCCTCTGCTTACTGAAAAAGAATAAATTGCAATGTATGTTTAATTTGATTTCCACGAAGTGTTAGTTATTATGTTTCTCTTCTGGGGGACAAGCTTTCAAATGGCTTCTTCCTTAAAAAAAAAAATCATATATAAAGGGGCTGACATTAAAAAAAAACCTCAATCTATATCAATTCAGAACTATCTAATATTGCGACCACACTATTAAGGAAAAAATGCTGAATATTTAGATGTGGTACCCAACTGCACTGACTTTGGTTAGCTGAAGAAAGACCTCTGATTTAATCATAGCACAATTTATCATCATTTTGCACTTTTCAATACTTACCAACAAAATTGGGTTGTTCCGATACTGCAAATGAGTAAAGATAATATTTGGACTTCTCCAAGACATATGTGGTTAATTTTTTTTTATATAAATTTTTATTGGTTTTTAAAACAAACATAAACAAACAAAACATAAAAACATCAAATCATCTTCCATATATATATACGTACAGTGTGCCGGTTGGTTTACAAATTGTTTTGTGCTTCCATTTCATAGTCTTCAATTATAATGACATTGTTTATAATCTCATATTTTCAATCAATATATTAAATGCATTAATATCATTATTAATCAATCATTTGACTATACTTTTATTCATTCATGTTTTCCAAAATGATCATATTTTACTTAATTTGTTTTATGACAATTCAGATTATCATCCCAGATCTATCCTAGAATCATTTTGTAGATATAATAAAAGAATACAACTTTATATATTTATTATTTTCTAAAAGTCTACATATTTCATTAGCATATTTTATTGTCTAACCATTGATGGAATAGATCCCAAATTTTAAAAAATTGTTGAACATCTTGTTCTCTAATTTCAAATGTCAATCTACTCATTTCAGCTGGGTCTGCATCATCATGGAGTCTCTCCTCTCCCTCCATTTCTTCCCACAGTATTAATATCTTTTTAAAAAACTGGGGAGGGAAGGATATCTGGAAAATAACATTAAACATCTGCATAGGTGATGAAATACATTGCCCATTTTTAAATCACACATTTATTTTTAACATTTCTTTGTCAGAGGGAGAAGGCAGGTGTGGACAAAGTCTCCTTCCTGCAAAAAGCAAAACCCCACTAACTTCCTCTTTTCCTATGGCTGCAAGATGAATGGTGGTTTTGGCTGCTCCTTCTTGTTCCTATTCCAACCCATTCATCAGTTTTGAGTAGGTAAAGGTAAAGGTTCCCCTCGCACATATGTGCTGGTTATTTCTGTCTCTAGGGGGGTGGTGCTCATTTCCATTACAAACCCAAAAAGCCAGTGCTGTCCAAAGATGTCTCCATGGTCATGTGGCCGACATGACTAAATGCCAAAGGTGCACGGAATGCTGTTACTTTCCCACCAAAGTCGTCCCTATTTTTCTACTTGCATTTTTACATGCTTTCAAACTGCTAGGTTGGCAGAAGCTGGGACAAGTAACTGGAGCTCAATCCATTACATGGCACTAGGGTTTCGAACCAGCGAACTGCTGACCATTCTGATTGACAAGCTCAGCGTCTTAGCCACTGAGCCACCATGTCCCTAGTTTTGAGTAGACAAGTGAATAAAACAGAAGTGACAGCAAGATCAGAGATTTTCTGAAGGTCAATAGCAAATCTCATAAAACCTATGGGCTTTAGAAGATAGGTGGCTATTCTTCTCTGACTGGTTCTTTTACCTTGGCAATACTTCCACTGTAATCTTGGGGAACAAATGCTCCAACAAGAGGCTTTTCTGAAGTTTAGAAAAGTAAAAGAGGCTCTTCCAAAGTTTAGGTTTAGAAGCTAAATCCAAAACACTCATACCTGGAAGAAGCTATTAACTTAAGGTCTCTGTGACACACAATTCTAGTTGTCCACTTTATACTCAGCTTTAGGACTGCTGAAAGAATCCATCCATCATTTCTTACAGAAGACTGCAGCAGAGAATGACAGAATTGAAAAGGACTATTTATTTCATCAGGTCCTACCCTGTAAAAAGTGCAGAAACCATATTAAAGTATGCCTGATAGAAGGTTCTTCAGCAATTCTTGAACACAGTCAGTGAATGGGAGATCTCTGCCACTTTAAACAATTATTATTGTTGAATTGGTCTAACTACTACAACACTCCTAACACTCAATGACTGGTATATGTCATCCTGTAATTGAAATATATTATTCTAGAATACTTTCATCTTTCAAGACTCTTACCTCTTTTTTCAATGAGCTTTCTCAAACCTAATCATATATTGTTCTGTTATGTTCTTGGTATTCTCTAAGTTTGATTGCTTGCTAGCAAATGCTTCATTATTTAAGTAGGTAATATGATAGCTAACACTGATTATATTACCTAGTTGGATAATTAAATGTCTATTAGCAAACAACCATGCTCAGAGAGCACCAAAAACTCCATACTTCAACCCTGAGCTACAGATATTCTCACCTGTTGAATATGCAGTTCCTTTAATCTCTTCTCATAGGACTTAGTTTCCAGCCCCTTTTATCAACCTTGTTGACTTTCTTTACACCTTTCTCAGTTTTTCTGAATCCTTCAGAAAGGTAGCTGGAATTGGGCATAGTATGCAAGGTGGAGTCTGGCAGATTATAACAGAATTATTATTTTCAGTTATTTGGACATCCATAAAATTGCTATTGCTTTCTTGGCAGCCATGTCCCACACACACTGCTAAATCATATTTGATGAACTATGATTTCAAGATCTTTTCCACACATACTATAACAAAGGTACCTCCTGCTTCAGAATTGTACATTTTTTCCAGGACGCTATGTTTATCACTGTTACATTTCATTTTGTAATTTTCAGACTAATTCTTTAACATGTCTAGATCAGCTTGACATTTGTTTTAAAGATTAAGATTATTAGTTATCCCACCCAGTATTATGCTGTTTACAAACATTCCTTTCACTTCTTGGCTCAAGTCATGAATGTGTTCGATTTTTGTTTGTTTCTTTATTGACTGTTTGATTTAGTTATCTGCTTGATGTACAATTCAGGAAGGTATGAGTTAGAGAATACTCATTGCAGAAGAAATGTCATAATAGAATGTGCCTGTCTGAGATGCTGACTGATTTTTTTTCCAATGGAGGCATATACCTGGAAAAAGCACCATTTAAACAAATTGAAATTTACCAATTTTTGTTCCTGGAAAAACTGCTATTTCAGTAACTGAAGGAAGATGGCAGGAATGGTATGAAGACGGTACCTCATTTAGCTAGTTGCTAATATTAAAAAAGCCCTGTAGATATAGGTCCATTTTCTCTCCAAATGTTTTTGGAACTGTGCAGTCTAGAAAATCTAAAATGGTTGCCACCAGCCAGTAAAGTTTTATTGTCACCTCTTCCTGTGTCATCCTTTTCCTATGGAATTGCTAGCTATGAGACTTTATTTTCTTATTTGCCAAACAACAAATTCAGACCTCTCAGGTTTTTTTTTTAAGTAGTAATAATTTAATTGCATGTAGAGTATCAATATGAAGTATGCACTCAGTTTTAATGCAAATAAATATTTATGTGTCAGTAATCAGACATTTGAAAAATCCAAGTTACTTTTTCTCTGGATTATATGTGAAGGATCTTAATGCTAAATTGGAAGAGGTAGAAGGTGCAAATAGAGATTTTTCTTGGATACATGTGATAGTCTTGAGTACATACATTGTACAAAATAGTGTTGTTAGGATGGTGGATGTAACTCTTGTTCCTGGGATCTAATAAATGCTCATTCTTTCCCTCTGGGGTCATCTTTCTTTTTGACAATGTTTTGATCCTGTTCTCATTCTTCTTGTGTCAACAGAACCCAAGAAAAAGAAAAAAGAAGGCAAGAAACAGGAGAAGCCACTGGAATAGGGAAGCTATGCTGGCCATGAGAATGGGACTTCCTTGAATGTAATTGGTTAACAAGTTTCATTGACACCTAGTCCTTTTATCCAGAAGTTATTTATAGCTTAATTGTACAATAGGGAAAAATAAGCATACAAATGCACCCTCTTTTCTCTCTCTCTCTCTCTCTCTTTTTTATTCCACTGTTACAAGTTCTCCAACTTGTTGATCTTCCAATGAGTCAGACTACAACTGTCACCCATCATCTTTTTGGCTGGGCATGATGGGAGTTGTAATGCAACACACCTGGAATGATCCAAGTTGTGGAACGTTGATATTCTAGTATTTTAAATTTATAATCTTAGTGGCATGTGTAGAAAATTTCAATAAAGGCAGCAATATCATTTAGTACATGAGTGCCGTTATATATGAGAAAGTATAGATCCATTTTAAATTCCTCTTTTACTCTGCCAAGTCCACTTTGGTTCTGCATGTTTATGACTTACATGGGACTCCCAAGTTATAGCCTATAAGGGTTCTATGATGTCATAATGGTCTGGGCAGACAGGCCTTTTTATGTATAAAATAGACAGAACTTCATCCACCAAGTTTTTATGTTTTGTAATAGCAAGAGTAGATTTCTACATGCAGATTGTACCAGCACTGAAATAGCTAACTTGGTTGTAACTTACAGCTTTTAATAAAACATTTTAAAACTATAGTCCATCATGACTTTTTTATCTCCTTCCTGAATACATTTCCCATCACAGGACAAGCATGAAAATTCATTTCCACTACTTTTGGTTACTATTCAGCTATCAAAAATTGAAGCAAAGTCTGCAGATCCAAAATATGTTTTTTTATCTCACTAACATGGACTAATGCATCATGACTTGATAGTGTAACTCCATTATATTATTCATTAGAGGTAGTCCTTGCCATACAACAGTTTATTCAATGACTGTTCAAAGTTACAAAGGCAGTGAAAACAGTGATTTATGATGGTTTTTCACATGACTATTGCAACATTCCTATGGTCATATGATCAAAATTCTCTTTGCTTGGCACCTGGTTCATATTTATGATGGTTGCAGTGTCCTGGAGTCATGTGATTGACCACCTTTTGCAACTTTCTGACAACTGAAATCAATGGGGAAGCCAGATTCATTTAACATCCATGTTACTAATTGAACAACTGCAGTGATTCACTTAACAATTGTGCAAGAGAGGTTGTAAAATGGGATCAAACTCACTTATCAACTGTCTTACTTAGCAACAGAAATTTTGGACTCAGTTGCAGTCCTAAGTTGAGAACTACCTGTAGTAGATGGTATAATAGCTGGTCATGATAATGTTTAATTTAACAAAAGTTTTGGCCAACTGAAAAGCAACCTTTATTTCCCACATGATCTTGTAAATAATTGTTAGTATTTGAACTGCTACTGGAAAGTATGCATTTGATTATTTACCTCATCCAATAACTTCCTGCCCCCAAATTTACAAATTTCAAAAGTCTTTTTATCACGTCATTTCATGAGGTAGCCTATTTTTTATGAGAAAAATAGGGTAAGCTTAACTCTTCTTGAAAATAAATTTCATGTGTTGACACAGACTACCCCCTATTAAGAAAGACACAGAAAAGCTGCAATAGTTAATAGACACCAACAGAACTAATCAAGTCATATAGGAAGGGAACATGGATAGGAAATGAAATATACCATTTACATATTTAATTGGAGGAAGAGATGCAAAGCAGACAGAGAGAATTCTTAAAAGTTATGAAGTTCTGCTAGAATCAAGAGGTCAAAGACTGTTTGATTGTCCCAGTAGATAAAATTAGATGTAAAGAGTTTATGTTAATAGAAAAGCCAGTGATGATGGAAAATTGTGATAAGTCTCTTAGTGCTCAAACCATGGACACAAAATCCTAGAAAAGTGAACAAAAAGACATATTTGCAATTTAAATCATAGATAGCGCTCATGTCAGAAGCACTGAGGCACTTGTGGGTTGAAAGGATTAGCGGGGGACAACCCTGTTGCCTAGGGGAAATGCAGTTGGAAGCTTCTTTTATGTCCCTGGCAGGAGCTAGAGCAAAGGACGGGAGCTCAACACCTCCCCATGTCAGCATTCAGGTCTCAAACGTGGCCTTACTAACCTCTACTCCAGCATCCTAATCACATGAGTCACCATGCTCCTATAAATTGTCAATAAAATACAAATATTCCCACCACATACTTTAAAGTGCAGAAAAAGAGTAGAGAAGGAACAAGCAACCGAAATTAATGGCAGAAGATAAGAAAAGAACTATATGCAACAAGGTTACAGCAACAGTACATTATGCCTCCTCAGGTCTTTCTGTCCTTGCAAAAACATTCTTGTTTCCATCACATTCATATACCATTTCATACAGTGCTTTTCTTTTCTCAGTGTTTAACTAACCCCTCACCTTTACATCTATGCATTTATTAAGCCATTCCACCTCACAAGATCAGGCTACCTTCGGTCAGATATGTTGTATCCTCCTGTGTTCTCTTATTTTATAGATGTACTGCACAACCATTTTTCTTCCTTGTTTACCATTTAGTCTTCTATATCCTGAGTCTTAATCTTCTAGATGCCATAATCATCACCAGATGAGCCCAAGATACTGACTTCTGCAGTGTACAACAACTTTAATCAATTAAGGCTTTCACATAATGCATTTTTAGTAAGATACAGAAATAATAAACTGGTTGATCAAGCTTAACTGTACCCAAGCCACTAATTCATCATTCCTTGCTTGTGGTAAAGAAACACCAATTAGCTTTGGTATATTCAGTCAAGTAGTCAAACTCCTGTTTTATTTTAAGCATGCTTTATTTATTTAGCATATGGCATACAATGTCAGGAAAATCTACACATGCTAGACAGGGGTCGCCAACCTTTTGGACCTCAGGGACCACCAAGCTCATAATTTTAAATCCTGTGGACCAGAGACCTTGGGAAAATCCCAAAAATGTCTACATGAAAATTCCCCACCCCGTTTTCCTACAGATCAGTCATTCTTTATTTGGGATTGCAGGGGGAGAGAGAGAGAGAGACTTTGGGCTTCATGCAAGGAAAGCAGCAGAAGCAGCAGGAGTCTTTCTTTCTCTCTGCCAAACTCCATCAGAATGATGCAGCCTCTTGGAGCAGGATGCCTTGCAGGGTCCCAAAGACTCACTTAGAGATTCAACAAAAGATATAATTTGACCAGAAGACCAAAATCTGCACAAGCAATTGATTTTTTCCTTTTCCATTTCTTCTCTCATGCCTTAATTATTTCAGATTACTCCTTTTCTGTGTTGCGCAATGTTGCCTCTCCTAAAAGTATAAAGTGATAGGTACATATATGTGCATGGTAGATATATAGCATGTATTTTTATAAAAAAACAAATATACATCTCTTATGTCGTAAAAACAGACCTACACAGCATAGATCTATCTGAAATGAAAGAACATCATAGTTATAATTCTGTACACATTTACCTGGAAGAAACTCCTGGTGAGCAAAATGACTTGAAACATCAGATGCTTGAATGTTTCCTAACAACATCCACAATCTTTCTCTCTCTTTAAACCCCTACATCCCTATTATTCCTCCTTCTCTGACTTTTATTTTTTTCCCAGGAAGTTTTTTTTTTTAAAGCACACTGAAACCTTGAAACAGTTATAAGGTTGATTTAACAAAGGTATGAATTCTATGGATTGTTTATTTTTATATCTAAGCAAAGAACCTGATGAGATAGCTAGTTCAAAAGCTCACCAGGAGGGAAAATCCTGTTTGTAGCCAGTGACCACAGTTCTATTTAATATTTTCTTCCTTAGCTGCTTAAGAGCACAATGGGCAGTATGATAATATGAAATCTAAGAAGGAGTGATATGATACTAGCGAGATTTTTAACTTATTTTATTTTGCATTATCTTAATGGAGAGTTTAACACTTCACAAATGAATTCAACCTATTCAAGATTTATATCCTAGATACAGTACTGCATATCCCATATTTTGATATCCCACTGAAAAATCAGGAGGGAATTGTCTCATTATGTGACCATGGTGGATAAAAATAGAGATGGGAATTCTTACAGACCACCCTAGATATGGGGGGTCGGGTGGGGTGTCAAACAGAGGTGGTATTCATCAGGTTCTGACCAGTACTGGAGAACCAGTAGCGGAAATTTTGAGTAGTTTGGAGAACCGGCAAATACCACCTCTGACTGGAGATTTTACAGTATCGTTCCCCTGCCACAGAAATGGTAGTAAAAAAAAAAAAATTGAATCCCACCACTGGTGTCAAACTCTAATCTACAACAGTACATGAGTATATCCAAGTATTAACTGGGGCATTGCTACTTTATGCAGCCAACAAGATTGAAGGTCAAAAGACACTTCCAAATTCCATTATTGTTCCAAAGGATTTATTCTTTTTTTTGGTAATTTTTTTATTGATTTTTAAAGACAAACATAAACAAACAAAACATAAAAACATTAACCTTTCTTCCATGAATATACAAGCAGTGTGCTGGCTGGTTTACAAGTTTTTTGTGCATCCATTTCATAGTCATCAATTACAGTTACATTGCATAATAACTCATATTCTCAATCAGAAATTAAGTACCCTAGATTCATTATTAATCAATCACTTGACAATAATTTTATTCATTCATATTTTGCAAGATAACTATAATTTACTTAGTATCATTTTGTAACAATTCATATAATCTTCCCAAATCTATCCTAAAAGTTTTTTATAGATATAGTGAAAAAGAAAAAAAATACATCTTTATATATTTATTATTTTCTAAGATTCTACATATTTCATTATTGTATTTTATTATCTAACCATTGATAGAAAAGGTCCCAAATTTTATAAAATTGTTTATCCTCTTGCTCTCTAATTTCAAATGTCAATCTACTCATTTCAGCACATTCCAATATTTTCTTAATGATTTCCTCCTGTGATGGTGTTTTCTCATTTTTCCAGTTTTTAGCAAATACAATCCTAGCCGCTGTTAATACATTTACAATCGGGTATTTCAAAACCAAAGGATTTATTCTTATGTTTGTGTTGCACTGTTCTGCTTACAAGGATAAACATCCCATCCTAGTTACAATCCTTTCTTAAGGACTAAGAAGTCTTTAGAGTATTGAGTGTTATGCAATGCCTTGGAAGACCAATTATTTAATGCTAAAGGGGGGCAGCTTTAAAAATGGATTAACTATATGAACAACTCCTATGTGAAAGACTCATTCTCTCCTGCTTTACAGACATTCCTGATGAACTTCCAGTAAAAGGAAGTTCTCTCAGGAAGTTCTCAATGTCACACAGTCTCTTGGTCAACAAGTTTCTCCTTAGAACAGGAGAGTCTATATTTGTTCTGGCTCTGGCTCCTCTCTACCTTAAGATATTTTTTTGTGATCCACAATGCTGTAATGGGCTTCCTAAGAGTCGGGCTCCAAGTGGAAAATGCATTTGATGGCAACATTTGAAGAAGAAAAAATGGAAATACATCATTGGTGGGATTCAAAATGTTTTACTACCGGTTCTGTGGGCATGGCTTGGTGTGCGTGGTGTGGCTTGCTTGGCATGACATGGTTTGGTGGGTGTGGATTTGTGGAAGTGGCAGGGGAAGGTTACTGCAAAATCCCCATTCCCTCCCCACCCCACTAACCTG